TTTTACTATTTTTCTGTGACTTTGATTTCTCGTCGCCTTTTGCGTTTTATTTGAGCCTTTTTTATTGCCCTTTTTTCTGACTTTTTGTGGTAATTTTTTTGCTATTTTTACTTTTCATCCACTGTTTTGTCGCTTTTTTTTGTTGCGGTTTTTCGTCTTCTTTTTTGCAGTTTTTTTTTGTAGTTTATTGACTCTCTTCGTTTAGTTTCCCTTTTCCCCTTATTTTAGTCACTTATGTAGTAAACTTTTTTGTCTTCGTTTTCGAATTTTTGTCGATTTTTGTGAACTTTTAGTCCTTTTTTTTACTTTTTTGAGTCTTTTTCGTTAGTCGGAATTTTTGTGGCTTTTTGTTATCTTTTCTTGCCGTCTGTTGCGTTTTTTCAATCCTTTTTTATGGTTTTTGTCGTAATTTTTTACCTTCCATCAACAGTTTTGGCGCCTTTTTTGTGTTTTTTTGGCAACGGTTTTTTCTCCTCTATCCTCTAATTCTTATGGTCTTTTTATAGAGTTTTTGTAACGTTTTTTTCTCCTTTTTATATTTTCTTGACTCTGTTCGTTTAGTCTCGCTTTTCCTCCTTGGTTTAGTCACTTTTTGTCATAAACTTTTTTTGTATTTTTTATCTTTTGTTTGCATTTTTGTGGAGTTTTTTCTTTTTTTCAGTTCTCTATATTGCATTTTTTGTTCTGTGTTTTTATAACCTCTTTGTGGACCTTCCACCACTTTTTTGTAGCATTTTTTTCTCTCTTTTTGTCTCATTTTTGTCATGTTTATTGTCCCTCTTTTTTTTTCTCATTTTTTTTTGGTCTTCGTTTACGAATTTTTGTCGATTTTTTGTACTTCTTTTTACCATCTTTCTATGACTTTTTTGACACCTTTTTGTCAGTGGGGTCTTTTGTGACTTTTTCTATCTTTTCTTGTCGTCGTTTGCTATTTTTTACTTTTCATCAACTGTTTTGTCGCCTTTTTTGTGTTTTTTTATTGAAACGGTTTTTTGTCCTCTATCGTCTGTTTTTTCTGGCCTTTTTATAGTTTTTTTCGTCTTTTTTGTTACATTTTTTTGTAATTTATTGACTCTCTTCGTTTAGTTTCGCTTTTCCCCATTGTTTTAGTCACTTTGTATCGTAAACTTTTTGCATTTTTTTGTAGACGTTTTACCACTTTTTATGTAGCATTTTTTCCCTCTCTTTTTGTCTCATGTTTGTCGAGTTTATTGTCCCTCTTTTTTCTCATTAAAAAAAAATTGTTTTCGAATTTCTGTCAACTTTTTTGAGGTCTTTTGTCCTTTTTCCACTGTCTTTTTTATTACGTTTTTGTCTCCTTTTTGCTAGTCGGATTTTTTGTGCCCTTTTGTTAACTTTTCTTGTCGTCTTTTGCGATTTTTGATTTTTTTTTGTTGTCCTACTTATGACATTTTTGGTGTAATTCTTTTGTTTTTTTACTTTTCATCAACTGTTTTTCGGCATTTTATGTATTTTTTTTTGGAACGGATTTTTGTCTTCTATTCTCTATTTTTATGACATTTTTATATAGTTTTTGCAATTTGTTTTCCTCTTTTTTGTTATATTTTTTTTGTACTTTATTGACTCTCTTCGTTTAGTTTCGCATTTCCCTCTTATTTTAGTCACTTTTTGTCGTAAATTTTCTTTTGCATTTTTTGTAGTTTTTTCTTTTTTTTAATTGTCTTGATTGCATTTTTTGCCCTCTATTTTTTATAACCTTTTTTCCTCTCTTTTTGTCTCATTTATGTCGTGTTTATTGTCTTTGTTTTTTTTCATTTTTTTTTATTTTTTGGTCTTCGTTTATGAATTTTTTCAACTCTTTTGTGGACCTTTTGTCCCTTTTTCACTATCTTTATATACTATTTTTTAATGACTTTCTTGACTCCTTTTTGTTAGGGAGATTTTTTGTGGCATTTTGTTTTTTTTTTGTCCTTATTTGTGACTTTTTGTCGTAATTTGTTGGTGTCTTTTACTTTTCATCAAGTGTTTTGCCGCCTTTTTGTTTTTTTTTGCAATGGTTTTTGTCCTTTTTATCCTGTATTTTTTATGGCCTTTTTGTAGTTTTTTCTTCATTTTTGTTATTTTTTTTACTCTTTTCGTTTAGTCGCGCTTTTCCCCCATTGTTTTAGTCACTTTTTTCGTAATTTTTTTGGATTTTTTGTCCTTTGTTTGCATTTTTTGTGTAGTTTTTTCTTTTCTTTATTTCTCATTATTGCATTTTTGTTTTCTGTTTTTATAACCTTTTTTGGAGCTTTTTTTTATGATTTTTTTGCCGCCTTTTTTGTTGACTTTTTGTGTTTTTCCCATTCTCCTTTTTTGTGACTTTTTTACTCTTCTTATGTTAGTGTTTTTTTTTTTATTTTTTGTTATCTATTCTTGCCGTCCTTCGCATTTTTTTACCCTTTTTTTATAGTCCTTTTTGTGACTTTTGACGTAATTTTTTTGCTGTTTTTTTACTTTTCACCCACGGTTTTATCGCCTTTTCTGTTTTTTTTTGTAGCGGTTTTTTGATCTCTTTTTTTTGTAGTTTTTTTTTTTTGGTAGATATTTTGTCCTGTTTTATCCTATGTTTTTTTATGGTCTTTTTGTTCAGTTTTTGTAACGTTTTTTCTTCTTTTTTGTTATCTTTTTTGTAGTTGTGTAACCCTCTTCGTTTGGTCGTGCTTTCCCCCCCTTGTTTTAGTCATTTTTTTGTCATAATTTTTTTGCATTTCTTATCCTTTGTTTGCATTTTTTGTGGAATTTTGTCTTTTTTTTTAATTCCCTTTATTGCATTTTTTCCTCAATTTTTTGTCGCACTTTTGTTGTGTTGTCCCTCTGTTTTCTCATATTATATGATTTTTTTGTTGCCTTTTTGTCCTTTTTTCATTGGCTTTTTTGTGACTTCTTTGACTCCTTTTTGTTCACTGCTGTTTGTGACTTTTTGTTATCTTTTTTTGTCGTCTTTTGCGTTTTTGTGATCCTTTTTTATTGTCCTTTTTTGTGACTTTTGGCGTATTTTTTTTTGCTGATTTTTACTTTTCACCCACTGTTTTGTCCCCTTTTTCGTGTTTTTTTTTTGGTAGTGTTTTGTCCTCTTTTTTGTAGATTTTTTAATCTATTTTATGGTCTATTTTATGTGGTCGTTTTATAGAGTTTTTGTAATGTTTTTTCCTCTTTTTATTTTCTTTTTTGTAGTTTTTTGACTCTTCGTTTAATCGCGCTCATCCCCCCCTTTTTCTGCATTTTTTTATCTTTGGTTTGAATTTTTTGTGTTTTTTTTTTGTTTTTGAATTAAAAAAAACACAATTATTATATTTTTTGTACCTTTTTGTTGATTTTTTTGCCACTTTTTTGTAGTATTTTTTCCTACCTATTTCTCTCATTTTTGTCGTATTTATTGTCCCTTTTTTTTCCATTTTTTGATGATCTTTTTGTCCTCGTTTTATAATAATTTTGGTCGCTTTTTTTGTGACCTTTTCCCCTTTTTTTCTGATCTTCTTTTGGCTCTCTTCTATTAGCTGCAATTTGTTTGCTGCTTTTTGACTTTTTTATCGCCTTTTTATTCGTGGAATTGTTTTGTTGCAATTTTTAACCTCTTTTTGTGAACTTTTTTCCCGTTTTTGATGATCACAAAAGCTGATTATGAAAAAGTACTTAAGACACCATACTTCTTTACGTACAGTTTAACAATCCACACCTATTTCTATTTTAACTTTTAGAAATCATAATAAAAAATAAAATTGCAATATTAAATCTTATAATTTATCCAAGAAACTGAATTTGTTTTATTGTATGTACGGGGCGAGGAAAATTCTGTGTAAATAATTTTGGACCAACTTTTTTTACTTCCTGCCCTTCCAATTCACGTTTTGTTGATTTCTTGTTGTAATTTGTAGCGAGTCCCCTCATCTTAGTAGAAACGGATGTAGGGGTTGAATCCAATTATTACCAGCAGTAATCATTATAGCATCATTTGTAGCATCTTATAATAAATATACGATAAATAATAGAATCATCATAAAAATTGGAAACGTTCCGCGAAAAATTAATATTTAGTATCAATCTGTCAAAAACTTGATTAAATTCTACAAATTTGCAGTTAACAACTCTATCAAAAAAAAAATTATATTTTATATTGTTTTATGAAATATGACGTCATCATTTTCTTATAATTAAATAAGCGTCATTACTACGAACCAAAACGTAGTAAAACTCTACTTCCCCTACCATCATTAAGCAACACCGAAGAAATCGCCTAATCCAGCCCAAAAAAGTGTCACAAAAACCTGTTAACATTCCTCGCACTAATTGTATAACGATTCTATTTACAATTTTAATTAACACCGAAACTTGTGAATAGGAAGTACCGATTTTCTGCTAACCCCCTTTCCAAATTACACGCAAACAAAAAATTCAAACACGGAAAAATTTTAATTAAAACAACTTTCATGGTGTTAAAAGCTTACAATTTACCGAATCGCTCAGTTACTTAATATCGACGTTGCGTCCGCGCTTGATTTATAGATAAGTGGACCCGTTTGATTGACTTACAACAGGAAACCACTTCAGACAAATTTACAAGCCCATCAGTGTCACCGCCTCGACTAATTCGCACGAGGCCGGAAATTCGAGCCGAAAATTTTTAAGATTAATGGTAACGATGGTATCTGCCGGCCCGATAAATCACGATTGTGCAACGGAATTGCCTAATTCCTCATAATTACCGCTAATTATTAATAGGCAAATCCACGGTCGTGCACGACCGCAACCACATCACAGCCGTCCCATAAATAAAGCAACCACGAGTGGCTTAAGCCGTACTTAAGTGGGTGATCACGTGGGAACGATCCTCCGCGCTCGATTCTGACATGTGTTGAAATTGCGAAACGTCTAAAACAATTTCATTGAACATCATAAATTCGACAACCTTGTACGGTCATAACCGATTCATGAATTACCGTGAGGCTGATAAACGTCATTGATCGTCTCGACATGAATACAGCGCTTTTTTTTTGCAGGTTGGTCCACCTGGATGTGTCCCGCTCGACCATTTGATGGTAAGTCAAGGCCGGTCCAAATGTCACAAACCTGCCCGTAAAAATGCAATCACAATTAGCGTGGAAATGGATTTTCGTAAATAACTGATTGATATTTTAATAAAAGGCCGATTTGCAATGCAAATTTTGCTGGAATTTATGTGATATGTTTTTGCGGTTGACGCCAATTAATAAATGCTTCGTCTAAGTCTTGTCGGGTAGGCGACTCTGGGTCAACAACCAACTAATTTCGAAGACTTAACGCTATTATGGCCTTTCCAGCCCACTTTGCATGTTTCGGTCGTAATTCCGATAATAGGCTGAGTGCGTCCCGCAAGGGTCCTCGATAACACCTTGTTTTTTCGGTTCTTAGAAATGGATCGAAATGTTAGCGGGTCATCGCCAGATTTAGGTGGTTTCGGAGTTTTCAAGGAGCTTTTGTCACGAATTATCTGCGGGCCAGGATACACCTCACTTTCCATTTTCTGTCATTCTTGTTTAAATTTTATAAGATAAGTTACTGCTGTATTTGTGAGTCATGAATCCGTGTTGATTTTTGGGAAAAAATCAACAAGGTGTAACATTAACTTACTGCTCTGAAATCATGAATCCTTTCGGAAGAATTTTTCCGTTTCTCAAGTTTTTTCAATTTTTGGAATTTCGATTTTTCAATTTCTCAATTTTTAAATTTTGGGACATTCCAATTTTTTTATTGAATTTTCCACTTTCCATTTTTCGATATTCGAATTTTAATGTTTTTATTTTTGATTTCTCGATTTTTTTTATTTTTCCATTTTTAGATTTTTCGCTTTTACAATTTTTGACTTTCAATATTTCGTTTTTCGAATTTTTGATTTTGCGAATTTTCGATCTTTAGGTTTTCGGTTTTCGATATTTCCGCTTTTCGAATTTTAGATCGCAAGATTTTCGATTTGTAGAGCTTTTTTCGACTTTTAGAATTTCCAATCTTCGATTTTTCGAATTTGCAATTTTTCAAATTTTCCATTCTTCAGTTTCTTGTTTTTAATTTTTTTACTTTTCGAATTTTCGATATTTAAATTTTCGATTTTTTCACTCTTCGATTTTAAATTTTTCCATTTTTCAGTTTTTGATTTTTTGATTTTCGAATTTTCATTTTCTTATATTTCGCTTTTTCAGTTTCTCAATTTTTAAATTTTCGGACTTTCCAATTTTTCGAATTTTAGTTTTCGATTACTAGGATACTTGCTCGATATTCGAATTTTTGATTTTGCAGTTTTCCCATTTTTAGATTTTCGAATTTTCCGTTTTTTGGATATTTGATTCACCGAATTTTCCATTTTTTTATATTCGAATTTTCAATTTGTTTCCTTTTCGGAATCTCGATTTTTCACTTTTGGTTTTTTAATTTTTCGTATTTGCCATTTTTCAAATTTTCTATTCTTCAGTTTTCAGACTTTTTAATTTTTTACTTTTCGATTTTTGGATATTCAAATTTCGAATTTTTGTCTGTCCTATTTTAAATTTTTCCGTTTTTCCATTTTCGATTTTTTGATTCTTGGAATTTTTGATTTTGCAGATTTTCGATCTTTTGATTTTCGAATTTTCGGTTTTTCAAATGTTTGGTTCACCGAATTTTCAATATTCAATTTTACACCTCTTCGATTTTTTAAATTTTCCATTCTTCAGTTTTTAGGCTTCTTAATTTTTTCACTTTTCGATTTTTTGATATTCATATTTTCGATTTTTTCATTCTTCAATTTTAAATTTTTCCATTTTTTCGTTTTCGATTTTTTGATTTTACAATTTTCGATTTTTCGATTCTTGGATTTTTGAATTTTTGATTTTGCGGATTTTCGATCTTTGGATTCTCGAATTTTCCCGATTTTTCACTTTTTCGATTTTTGATTTTTCGAATTTGTCATTTTTCAAATTTTCCATTTTTTCAGTTTTTAGACATTTTAATTTTTTTTAACAATAATCAAATTTTCGATTTTTTCAGTCTTCGATTTTTCAAATTTTCCATTCTTCAGTTTTTAGACTTCTTAATTTTTCCATTTTCGATTTTTTTGATTTTTGAATTTTTGATTTTGCGGATTTTAGATCTTTTGATTCTCGAATTTTCGGTTTTTCAAATGTCTGGTTCATCGAATTTTCCATTTTCGAATTTTAGATCGCTCGATTTTCGATTGCACGAGTTTTTTTTTTGGTTTTTGAAATTTCCAAATTTTAATTTTTCGATTTACGAATTTTCAGTTTCTCAATTTTAAAATTTTTGGATTTTGGACGTTCCAATTTTTCGAATTTTAGTTTTTTCAATTTTCGATTTTTTGAATATTTGATTCAAGGAATTTTCCAAATTCGAATTTCCATTATTCGAATTCTCAATTCTTTAAATTTCGATTTTTTGATTTTCCAATTTTTCCATTTTTCAATTTTTCGCCTTTAGAATTTTACATTTCGATTATTGGATTTTTGATTTTTCGAAATCTCGATTTTCGAATTTTTCATTTTGTGGTTTTTTCATTTTTAGATTTTCGAATTTCTCGTTTACTAAAAATTCCATTCCACTTTTCAGTATTCGAATTTTCAGTTTGATTCCTTTTCGAAAATCCGGATTTTTCACTTTTTCGATTTTTGATTTTTCGAATTTGCCATTTTTAAAATTTTCCATTCTTCAGTTTTTAGACTTTTTATTTTTTTTAAAGAATAATCAAATTTTCGATTTTTTCAGTCTTTGATTTAAAATTTTTTCATTTTCAGTTTCACGATTTTTTGAGTTTAAAATTTTCGATTTTTTGACTCGATATTTCGTTTTTACTACATTTTGTTTCTTGGATTTTTGAGTTTTCGAAAGCTCGATTTTCAAATTTTTGGTTCATCGAATTTTCTATTTTTCAGTATTCGAATTTTGAATTTGTTTCCTTTTCGATATCTCGATTTTTCAGATTTTCCATTCTTCAGTTTTTAGACTTTTTAATTTTTCCGTTTTCGATTTTGTTGATTTTTGAATTTTTGATTTTGCGGATTTTAGATCTTTTGATTCTCGAATTTTCGGTTTTTCAAATGTCTGGTTCATCGAATTTTCCATTTTCGAATTTTAGATCGCTCGATTTTCGATTGCACGAGTTTTTTTTTTGAATTTTGAAATTTCCAATTATTAATTTTTCGATTTACGAATTTTCAGTTTCTCAATTTTAAAATTTTTGGATTTTGGACGTTCCAATTTTTCGAATTTTAGTTTTTTCAATTTTCGATTTTTTAAATATTTGATTCAAGAAGTTTTCCAAATTCGATTTTCCATTATTCGAATTCTCAATTCTTTAAATTTTGATTTTTTGATTTTCCAATTTTTCCATTTTTCAGTTTTTCGCCTTTGGAATTTTACATTTCGATTATTGGATTTTTGATTTTTCGAAATCTCGATTTTCGTTCGAAATTTTCATTTTGTGGTTTTTTTCATTTTTAGATTTTCGAATTTCTCGTTTACCAAAAATTCCATTCCACTTTTCAGTATTCGAATTTTCAGTTTGTTTCCTTTTCGAAAATCCCGATTTTTCACTTTTTCGATTTTTGATTTTTCGAATTTGTCATTTTTCAAAATTTCCATTTTTTCAGTTTTTAGGCATTTTAATTTTTTTTAACAATAATCAAATTTTCGATTTTTTCAGTCGTCGATTTTTCAAATTTTCCATTCTTCAGTTTTTAGACTTCTTAATTTTTCCGTTTTCGATTTTTTTAATTTTTGAATTTTTGATTTTGCGGATCTTAGATCTTTTGATTCTCGAATTTTCGGTTTTTCAAATGTCTGGTTCATCGAAATTTCCATTTTCGAATTTTAGAGCGCTCAATTTTCGATTGCACGAGTTTTTTTTTTTGGTTTTTGAAATTCCCAAATTTTAATTTTTCGATTTACGAATTTTCAGTTTCTCAATTTTAAAATTTTTGGATTTTGGACGTTCCAATTTTTCGAATTTTAGTTTTTTCAATTTTCAATTTTTTGAATATTTGATTCAAGGAATTTTCCAAATTCGAATTTCCATTATTCGAATTCTCAATTCTTTAAATTTCGATTTTTTGATTTTCCAATTTTTCGCCTTTAGAATTTTACATTTCGATTATTGGATTTTTGATTTTTCGAAATCTCGATTTTCGAATTTTTCATTTTGTGGTTTTTTTCATTTTTAGATTTTCGAATTTTCCGTTTTCTAAAAATTCCAGTCCACTTTTCAGTATTCGAATTTTCAGTTTGTTTTCTTTTCGAAAATCTCGATTTTTCACTTTTTCAATTTTTGATTTTTCGATATTTCGAATTTTCGATTTTTCAAATATTTGATTCATCGAATTTTCGATTCTTCAGTATTCGAATTTTCAGTTTGTTTCCTTTTCGAAATCTCGATCTTTCAGTTCTTCGATTTTTAATTTTTCGAATTTTCAATTCTTCAATTTTTTTACTTCCCGATTTTTCGATATTCAAATTTTCGATCTTTTTCACATTTCGATTTAAAATTTTTCCATTCTTCAGTTTTTCGATTTTTTATTTTTCGCGTCTTCGATTTTCGATTTTTAATTTTTCAGTTTTTAGACATTTAATTTTGTTCGGATTTGGTTTTTCATTCTCCAATTTTTAATTTTTTTGACTTTCCAATTTTTCGTTTTTTCAATTTTTGATTTTTCGATATTTCGAATTTTCGATTTTTCAAATATTTGATTCATCGAATTTTCGATTCTTCAGTATTCGAATTTTCAATTTGTTTCCTTTTCGAAATCTCGATCTTTCAGTTCTTCGATTTTTAATTTTTCGAATTTTCAATTCTTCAATTTTTTTACTTCCCGATTTTTCGATATTCAAATTTTCGATCTTTTTCACATTTCGATTTAAAATTTTTCCATTCTTCAGTTTTTCGATTTTTTATTTTTCGCGTCTTCGATTTTCGATCGAATTTTCAATCTTTCTATTTTCGTTTTCCCGATTTTTGATTTTTCGAATTTTCGATTTTTAATTTTTCAGTTTTTAGACATTTAATTTTGTTCGAATTTGG